TTTCCATTGCCCAGGGACGAGCATGTGAAGAATCAGTGGTCAGAGTTCATATTTGCAACGATACCACAACAGCATAGCCCGAACGTGGCGTTCTCATCATTTTAATGACGAATCATTCAAAAACATTAAATGAATTCAAATGTGGATTCGCAAGCTGGTTGTTCCCGAAGGAGGGCTCAGTATTAGGGTTGGGTATCGAGAATCGAGTATCGATTGGAACCGGGACTAACTTCTCGTTTTTCTAGGAATCGTTCAAAAGTAAAAATTTCGATTCCTAGTTTCGATATTCACAGTCCGCCGAGCGGAAGAAGAAACCGCTGAACAACACCAACGAAGAAGCATCTACCGGAAGTGTTGGCATAACCGCGCGAGTCGAACATGAGTACCTTACGTCGGCGGTCCCAAAGTGTGTGTTTGTGACAAAAGGAGTATTTCCTTCAGAAAGGATTATTTCCTTCAGAAAGACCGTTGGTTAGCAAGGTTAGCTAAACTTTTTTGACCATGGCTCTTAAAAGAATCAGAATCGAGAATCGTTGGGAACCGGAATCGAAACAAGGTATCGGAATCGGAATCAGAATCGTTCAAATTCAAACGATACCCAACCCTACTCAGTATCCAGTGTATATGGATCAGGTTCGTCCTCCTCCGAATCACAATCTGTAAGTATTATTAATAATGTTTGCTGTTATGTTTTCTGTAGCATGCACAATATAGTTATACACTCCGCGCAGCTTCTAAGTGGGGTAAAGTTAGTTTTGTTTATGATATTCACCAGACATTCACTAAAAAATGCCAATTACCTCCTAAACGACTTAGCCAAATATGACTTCGCTCTATATAAGCACTGCCCCTCAAAAGCCGCCGCAACGTGAGTTTCGCCGGGAAAGCTCGCTCTTGACGGAGACGCGAGTAATGGACCGTGTGGAAAGTGCACTTTTTCTGACACGTTTGTTCATACACCGTATAGACCTTATGTAGCCCCGCCCCTTTTCAGCGTTGCGCTCGTTGTCTTTTGACTTCCGGTCTGTATTTGCACAGCGATCTTGCATAGGTATGAATGAACTGCTCGTAAAAAAATTCCCGTTCGACATTTGTTAAGACATCTGCTTTACAATGCTTATGATAAACATTACAATGCTCATGATAACTTTTGTTAACTCTACAATAAGTAAATCCACTTCACCAGCTAATTACTCCTCGACAGCGATGCCATAGAAATATACAGAACCGGAAGTTCAAAGACAATATTCTAAAGATGACGCCGCCCACGTTTCTCTGGTGCATAAGGTCTATACAACACTTGACAAGCTATAATCCATTAATGGTGATGGGCGTTCCATTTCCGCCAATCTCTGCCTACGGTTTACCAATAAAAACTGACTGGGTCATTTGACCAATCGTCGAACGAATACGAATCATTTGGGAGTCGTTGAGCAAATCAGTTAAAAATAAATTCATATTATAAGACAAACAAAGTGTTTTTTATCCATTCCTTGCATGCACGTTAAACTGTTTTTGGGAACTCCCAAAACAAAAATAGGAACATTTCAAATGCTATGATAGGGGCTCTTTAACCAGGCTACCAGCAACATGGGCTCCTTATATACAACCTACATTAAGTGGAGTGTGGATGTTATGCATCTCAAATCTGCATTTTATTGTGGATAAAGATTAAATAATGACTGTGAGACCCTCAGCTATCTGTAAGACCCAGCTTGTAATATGCATACTTTCACCCGGACACACCAATATTGTAGGAAATTTCCTGAATAATAGATAAGAATTAGTTGTGCTTGTGCCAATCACAAACAAGCGGTCTGTTTCCTCCTGATAAAGAGGTCCTGTTATTTACCAGGGTCACTGGACATCCATGTCTTGAATGAACTTTGGAGGCCTCAGCTGCATCCTTTAAAGTTTCTCAAAGCTGCATGTCTACAAGACGAAATCATAAGGAAAAGATCTATGCATTCATAACTGTTCTTCTTGTTCACAGTTGTGCAGGTCATACTTGACAAGCCTCTCATTTTTTGAAGCATCTATGAGCACAGAACACATATTCTTCCTGGTAATTAATCTACACAGCTCCTTTGCAAATTTCATATGTCTCAGAGGCAACAAGGCCCCAAAACCCATTACTGGGTGAATCACCCCATGTCACACGCATTAGATGAGAGTCCTCCAGCAAATGGTGGGGAAAAGCAATTTTCTTTCCAAGGCAATAGATACTCTATCTCATTCCAGATCCTCTGCAGACTACAAACTGCCAGCTTGTGTAGCTCTGATGCCTGAAACTTGGAAGAAAGTGATGACTTGACCTCCTTTTCTCCCTGGGACTTAGCTCTGCTGTCAATAAGGGCATTTCACTGGAGCTCAAGGTGGAATGAATCACCTGCACCGATTAGAGATCTAGCAACCGCGGTTGAGATCAAACCAGCCCTGACGACCAGTTCATTTGCCGCCATGTCAACTGATATTAATATAACAGCCTGGAGACGAGCCTCTTGCTCTCAACCGGGACTTCCCACCACGAAGAACCAAATATTCATTTCCAGCAGCTTAATGCTTTAGTGACTGAACGCTTCTGTGTCTGCTCAAGCTGAACAAAACAGTCTCCCTCTTCCATATCTGCATCAGTCAACCACTTTAGTTCACTCACAACACCATTTTGTTTTATTATTGGAGTGTGTTTTACAAGAACATACTTTTTCATTCTTTCTACTTCAAAATTTCACATTTAATTCAATGTGCAACTTGCCATTACTATATAATTGTTTGTGAAATGTACAAGCAGTTTCTGAGAGAAAATGGTTTTGAAAGTAAATACTACAGTGTAGGTTAGTTTGATACACATTCAAATAATCAACAAAAAAGGTTCATTTTATGTCTGTAAAATTAATTTTCATTGGATAATTGAATAATTATCAAACACCACAATAGTGACTATAAATTATTCATCCAATTATTCAATTCTTTATCAATTATCAAAATTGTATTTAAATAGTTGGCAAATTAGGTGTTCGATCCATTAGGTCTATATTTGTCCACATTTTAAAGTTGTTGTTTTTTTCCTAAAATGTCTTTTCTAAATGTCTCAGAGGAATGTAAAGGTTAAGGCTACCTCTGAGCCTGTGTTGAGTTGTGTGTGTGTGTGTGTGTGCGAGTGAAATCTGAGTTCTGACATCAGCATTTAGCTAAACTACAAAGCCACAACTAAGGCCGGCATTAATGGATCCCTCAGAGCCAATATCTTCACGCACAAGTGCTTGACTAATTGAAAACTGGTCTGAGTCTGCTTTGAGGAACAAGTGCAAACATTTATGTCAGTCTACAAAAATAGGGTCCAGAAAGAGGTGGACAAATTCACAGAAACCCTCTAATAGATATAAAGTTACAGTGCACATGAAGTTAGACAGTTGGAATGTAAGATTTAAGGCATGTGCACTTGCAAATCTTTCAATAGCCACTTGATAATATATGGCAGGGCTTTGTTTGAAAGGAATATCCTCTATCTCAAAGAGATCATGAATTTCTGTTTCAAGAACAGGAATGTATTCAAAAGGTTCTTCTCAATGACTCGTGATTAGATGAGATTTGATTGCATGGCATATCTCCATATTTTATGTAGTTTGACAGGCTGTGAAGTCCTGTCTTCTTTTTTAAGAGCATGTGGGTTGAAAAAAAAAAAAATCTTCTGAAGGCACATCAAGAATTAACATTGGTGGTTAAAGTGCAATTAACGATTAAAAGAATTCAGCTATGTTGTTGTACCCAGCAATGCTTTGTTTTACTTCTGGAAAATGGCCAAAGATAACACTCATACATCTTTTAGTTAAAGGAAACTCCCCATAATTCATGTCTAACACATACATTGTTTCAAAGCTTGGGGAGTTTTGTGAAAAGGAATGTCAATGGTTAAACGGGTAGTTCAGTTTTGTGCCTCAAAACCTATGGTACCACTCACTCCAATTATAAAGCTTGGAGGAGCCAGGCTATTTTTGAATACAGCCTAACTTAGATTGTGTTTGGCTTTAGGTTTGATTTTGAAATTGGTGGGGACGGGGAAATCAATTCATAAATATATTTTAAGTTTTGGTTTTGATTTGATCGAAATTATTGCTAGGGATATATCAGTGTCACTGGATATTGGTTGGGACACGTCCCTTGCGTCCCTACTAAATTCTACACCACTGCACCTAGCAAATTTTTGGGTGAACTAACCCTTTAAATGATTATATCTGAGCTGCTGAACTGATTAGATAGATAGATAGATAGATAGATAGATAGATAGATAGATAGATAGATAGATAGATAGATAGATAGATAGATAGATAGATAGAATCATTCACAAACTGAAGACATAAGATAAGATAAGATTCTCGGTTTGATTGATTTAGACTGGGACTGAACTCATGCCCGTCGGCAGGACTGCTGACCTCCATCTGGGGGGATACACACAACAGTTATGACGGGACCTCCTGGACAACACACGCTGCCTGCTGTCACACCCCGTGGGAAAACCGCCAGCTTGATGTCTCATCATCCCACCCAGACTTTCCCCGAGCTTTACTCGCCCGATTAGATTTAACAGAAACCGCCGGATAGTGACACGCGCCGTCATCGGTCGCGAGCAACGCGAGGAAACTATTTTGTTTGTGGGTAACAGAAGCGCTTTGTGGAATACATGAAAAAAATACATTTTATTTTTAAATTCGGAGTGTTTTCTCCCTTCAAGCCTCTCAAAACAGTAGTTAGACCACACTAAAATTAAAATGTACACCGCGCACAAAGAGTGAACCCTCGCATCTAACTGTCAAATCAAAACATTTGAGTGTTAGTTCTGCCCTGCTTAAGAGATAACCATATATGGCACAGAATGAAAAATGAATGTTTTCTAGTTGATTAAATGAATCTCTAGAGAGAGCTTAGTATCTCAGTGACCAGCCATTCTAAGTGTGCATTCATGTAAACACCAGCGGAGTTCAGTTTACCGAGAATCTCACCTCAAAATCCGGAACAACACGCGTCCTTCTTCGCTGTCCGGAGATAAAACGAGGTCAAATATGATGGTTATAAGTCTGCGTGAATGAATGCCGACTGAAAAACTGGTGGACCTGTAGATCTGCTACGAATCCAGGAAAAAAACAACGAGCTTCAAGCGTCAGCTAATAAATTCCAGAGACCCCCAAACTGCTGCTGCCCTAATCTCGCGTCCCTCTCGCGCGCCACCGGAGCCTGTATACACAGTTCAGCCTGGAGGGAGGGACTCTCTCTACTACAACTTCAACGCCCAGTTTACTTACTTCACTCTATTTTTAGACTCAGCTGCTGTTAATCAATAGATATGCTATTAGAAATTATAGCCTATATTGTGTTGGATTCTCTCGAACTACTCCTCCAGAACACCAATTTATCGCTTTGCTCTGTCTACTCGTGGGCGGAGATTTAATGGTCAAATTGTTTTCACTTCCCTGGCCCCCCTCAACACGACCACAGATGGCGAGTCAGATAAGAAAAGTATCACGATCCCTTTGTCTACATGCCCTCAAAGGTCGTGACACTGACATTCCCTGTGGCATACATGATATCCCACCGCAATTCACATCTAGACCACAACCTCTGTCATAACAGACCCCTCTAAAGTGCACATGCCACGATGGAGGGCTATATATAAACATATATATGTCATATGTTTTCAGGGCATGTTCCAACTTGCCCCATTTTTGGGTCATGTTGTCACAAAAGGTCAGCATTTACCTGATTATTTCCAATAATGATGGAAATGTTTAATGCTTTTTTTGTAGATGCAACTTTGAGGAATGTGCTACTTAAAAAATAAAGGTTTCGTTTGCACAAAAGGTCCTTTATGTTGAAAAAAGGTTCTTTAGATTATTCACATGTTCTTCACTCTAAGAAAAAAAGTATTCTAAATTCGTGATGAAACTACTGTAGCAACAGATCTTTTTCGCTGGATAATCCAGTGATTAATTTTACATTGAGAGGGGAAAAAATAACTGTTGGATGAAGCAATTTTGCACAAATAGATCACAAAAAAAAAGATGTGATACATTTCCATTAAATGTCGACTTTTTTAGAACTATTTTTTTTAAGAACTGTTAAGTGAATGTTCTTTGGGGAACCCAAAATGGGTCTTCAATGGCATCGCTGCGGAAACCCCCATTTGGATGTTTTATTTTTAAGAAATTGACTTGGGAAAAAAAAATAGTTTGGGGAACGTTTGAGAAAAACCTAGTCTTCCTTTGGCACTTTGGCACTCTTTGGTGTCTGTGTTGTTTAACTATATTGGTCCAGTGACATGTGACAGTCCGTCTCTGAGACATCTCTGAGTGTGTGTGTGACATTTCTGTGTGTGTGTGTGTGTGTGTCGTCTGCATGTAATTGAAATGTCAGCTCTCTGGTGATTTGAGCTGCTCAAGTAAGGAGGAGGTCTAGAGCAATAAGGGTTTTCTTAGGAAAAGACATGAGACATTCCACCACACAGCCATCCCTGAAAAGGGATAATTCACCTCAACATGAAGACGAGTAAATTATGACAGAATCTTCATGTGGTTCCAAACCTGAATGACTTCTTTGTGTATTTTTGAATATCCAGGTAACTCGTTTCAGAAAGTGAATAAAGCTCTCGAGCTCCAAAACAAACCCTAAACAAGTCTTCTGGAGCCATACGATAGTGACATTTATTGAGAGTTCATGAGAGAACACTGTAAAAATGAATATACTTTATCTAATCAATAAAATTGTGGCAACAGATTACAAGCAATATTATTTATTAAATTGAAAAAATTAGAATTGAGTAATAGTTAATCAAATTAACATTCTAATTAATTCTAATTTGTACAATTTAATTAATAATATTGATTGTAATATGTTGCCACAATTTTATTGATTAGATAAAGCATATTATTTTTTTCAGTGAAGAATGAATAGAATCTTTGAGTTAGTTCTTTTCAATGAATCAGTTGATCCAGTTCACAAACTAATGATTCACACTCATGGTCTTGATCATCAGTGTTTGAAAGCTCTGAAAATGTTTCCTTTTGTTTTCCCTAGAAGAAAGAAAGTAAAATTGAACAAACTGAGAGCAGAAGGCTTTTTTGTTCTCTGTTTATTATTATTCACAGCTAAAAGATCCCATCTGTCACCACCCCATAAAACTGCACGCTATTGCAGAATGTCCAACATCCCCTCCCTATAGCCCACCCCATACTCTATACCCAATACTCTATACTCCATACTCCATGCTCCTCTATACCCCATAATCTCTACTCTATACTCCATACTCCATACTCTATGGTCCATACTCTATGCTCCATACTTTATACCCCAAACTCTATACCCCATGCTCTATACCCCATGCTCCATACTCTATACCCCATACTCTATACTCTTTATCCCATACTCTAAACTCTATACTCCATACCCCATAGTCTATACTCCATGCTCCATACTCTATGCTCCATACTTTATACCCCAAACTCTATACCCCATACTCTATACCCTATGCTCTATACCCCATACTCTATACTCTATATCCCATACTCTAAACTCTATACTCCATACCCCATAGTCTATACTCCATGCTCCATACTCTACCCCATACTCTATACTCCATGCTCCATACCCCATGCTCTTTACTCTATACCCCAAACTATATACTCTATACCCCATACTCTATAGTCCATGCTCCATACTCCATGCTCTATACCCCTTACTCTATACTCTATACTCCATGCTCCATACTCCACAGTATGCTCCATATTCCATTGTATACTCCATAGTATACTCCATGCTCCTTACTCCATACTCCACGCTCCATACTCCACCCTCAATACTCCACAGTATACTCTATACCCCATACTTTATACTCCATGCTCTATACCCAATACTCTATACGCTCCATACTCCACAGTATACTCCATGCTCCATAGTCCATAGTATACTCCATGCTCCTTCCTCCATACTCCACCCTCAATACTCCATGATCCACAGTATACACCATACTCAATGATCCATTCTCCATAGTATACTCCATGCTCCTTACTCCATACTCCACGCTCCATACTCCACCCTCAATACTCCACAGTATACTCTATACCCCATACTTTATACTCCATGCTCTATACCCAATACGCTCCATACTCCACAGTATACTCCATGCTCCATAGTCCATAGTATACTCCATGCTCCTTACTCCATACTCCACCCTCAATACTCCATGATCCACAGTATACACCATACTCAATGATCCATTCTCCATAGTATACGCCATGCTCCATACTCCATGCTCTACTCACTCCAGACAGCCTCATTCTGTCAGGGGCCATCAGGCACTGTACAAGGACAAGCACCATACATCACGCTTTGTTAACTGCCTAGCAATTGATGTATAATACAAAAAGAGATTTTTCTTCATAAGCATTTATGAATGTTTTCTTAAGTAGTCTTTTCAAAGATAAGTCATGCCCCTTTCAGCTGCCAGTTCCACCAATGAAAGACAGAACATTTGTATGTAGTCAACTTAAAAAATAAAACTGACCTTTTAATTTTCTTAATGCATGCCATTTGACTTATTGTGAGCGATTTGGTTATGTTATTCTAAATGAAAGAAATTCGTTCTTTAATCAAAATCTAAAAACTCTCTCTTCCTCTGAAAGGACAGAAGAGCAAGCAAGTTCACTTTGAAAAAAGGAAGAATGTTGCAAGGTTGACTTTAAGACATTATATTCCAGAATACTTCGATAGTATTTAAGATGTTTTTTTTTTTTTGTTAAAAAATAAAAGTTCCAATAGAGGGTTACCACAACCATTTTGCATAATTATTATGAGACAACCTAATTGTGCATAATGCTTTCAAATATGTATCCTACGTTTTGTTCAATAGAAGAGCTAGCGTTGCCCATCTGATTGAGATGGATGTGCCCACAGTTGATGATTGCTGAAGAGCACTACAAAAAACTACTCTACTTTTGGAGAGGAGTACTTATGTTTACCTGTTCCTTAGCAACCGTGTTCAGAACAGCATGGGAAATGAGACTGGTTTCGGAAAGAATCATATTTTTGTTATTGTTAATAAAAAATTGGGTTATGGCTGGAGTGCTTATATAGCCTATTATTTGGTCACAGGCATGATGATGTGTGTATAGGTGTATAAAACACTGCTGCTTAGAAAAGAACACTTCTGGTCTTGGATCAGTTTCCCTATGCCAAAAAAACACAAACTTTAATTGCAGTGAGATGGGGGGAAATTATAACCATCCATATATCTAGGGATGTCCACCGAATTATGAAAATTCATAATTTACTCAACCTCAAAAAAATATGACTTTCTTTCTTCTGTGGAACATAATAATAGAAACAAATCTCTGTAATGTATAGGAGGAACACCACCTACACCTCCTAGACTAACTAACTTTACCCTGAAGTTGCTTCATCCTCCATTTCTAACCTGTGATTCATCAGCCCATTGGCACAGATTGATTTGACAATAAAGCTTCTAACATGTCACATGCTATTAATTGTATCTATTCTCACTGTCTACCAGCCCACAGTTTGGGTGAGTAATGGCAGTTTGAGACAAAGTGGGATTGAATGAGCCAGTTGGATGCAGACCGGAGCCTGCGGACACTTCATAATTGACTGCACTGGGATCCGAGAGTCCCATAGGGAGTAGAGGCCACAATACCCACAGGACAAGACTTCAGCGTACTGGAACTTATGACAAATTCTGCCTGCTAACAGCCTGTATGAACATATTTTCATCACGGCGATTATAACATCTTCTAAGAGTGGGGAAGAATAAAGACAAGTTTTGAATTGCATTTGATAGGATCTTTTTGTGGTAAATATGGGAAGAAGAGTCATCAGTTATGGTTTTTAAAGCGTTTTTCATCTATGGAATACAAGGGAAGATATTTTGAAGATTATTTTAAACCATGATTTGGTTAAAAATCTGATTATGATTGAGGGATTTCAAACTAGCACTATTGGTTTAATTGCAGTCCAGCATAATTCACTCCATGAAAACAAACAAACCAACAACAACAAAAACAAGTGAACATGCATGAACTGATTAAAATGTATGCTTTCAATGTAATGTAAGTTTCTTTGAATAAATACACACTGAAAAAAATTGGAGTAGGATTTACTTGAAAAAAGCTAGGCAACTTTTTTCACGCACTGTTAAAAAAATATTTTCAAGATTTGTAATCACAACATTTTTTCTTTTGTCAAATCAACTTAAATAATTTATTAGTTCAGATAACTTATCATTTTGAGTTTCTGATGATTAAATCAATCTCCTTCATTGTATTAACTCACTTTTTCCAGTTCAATGAACTTAAAATTTTAAGGCAACCAGGTTACTTACTTTTTTAAGTTAAACCAACAATATTTATTTA